CCTTACTTTCATTGTATAACCTTTGCCAACACAACACAATAAACCTGCTTTAAGTATGATAAAAGTAAGGAGGGGCTATCAAATACAAATAGGCTACTGGAACTCAATCAAAAGGCCACTGTGATTGCTTAATAGAGGTAACCATGTAGTAAAGGTGAAAATCAGAGTAATTAAGATGAAACAAATCTGGGACTTTGACAACCGACCACTTAACCCTGTAACTCCCAAGATCTGATTGTTAATTGTCCTCTAGCTGCTATACATTTCTATGCAAATAAGTAACAAGAATTTGGTGTTAGATCAAGATAACTTTCACCTGATAAGTTTAAATATTCTCATGACCTGTTTGCTTGATAATGTTTAGATACCGTAGGAGAAGTTATATGTTAACCACTTCTGAGAGTTAAAGGGTTAATCAAGGGTGACTGCTTGATACAATGCCACTTCAGAGAAGTTTTTCAGGGTGACTGCTTGATACGGTGCTACTTCAGACAAGTTTTACAGGGTGACAGCTTGATACGGTGCCACTTCAGACAAGTTTTACAGGGTGACAGCTTGATACGGTGCCACTTCAGACAAGTTTTACAGGGTGACTGCTTGATACAATGCCACTTCAGAGAAGTTTTTCAGGGTGACTGCTTGATACGGTGCTACTTCAGACAAGTTTTACAGGGTGACTGCTTGATACAATGCCACTTCAGACAAGTTTTACAGGGTGACTGCTTGATACGGTGCCACTTCAGACAAGTTTTACAGGGTGACTGCTTGATACGGTGCCACTTCAGACAAGTTTTACAAGGTGACTGCTTGATCAGGGTGACTGCTTGATGGTGCCACTACAGGGTGACTGCTTGATACGGTGCCACTTCAGACAAGTTTTACAAGGTGACTGCCTGATATGGTGCCACTTCAGACAAGTTTTACAGGGTGACCGCTTGATACGGTGCCACTTCAAACAAGTTTTACAGGGTGACCGCTTGATACGGTGCCACTTCAAACAAGTTTTACAGGGTGACCGCTTGATACGGTGCCACTTCAAACAAGTTTTACAGGGTGACCGCTTGATACGGTGCCACTTCAAACAAGTTTTACAGGGTGACCGCTTGATACGGTGCCACTTCAAACAAGTTTTACAGGGTGACCGCTTGATACGGTGCCACTTCAAACAAGTTTTACAGGGTGACCGCTTGATATGGTGCCACTTCAAACAAGTTTTACAGGGTGACCACTTGATACAGTGCCACTTCAGACAAGTTTTACAAGGTGACTGCCTGATATGGTGCCACTTCAGACAAGTTTGACTTTATACAAGCGGTATTTTAAGTAAAGGCTTAACGTGATCTCAACCAATGTAATGTTTAAAATTTGTCTCATGAAGAACACATAAAAACAATATATGTGAATACCGAAATTCTCGCCATAAAAAGAGAAAAAATCCATTCCCCACAGTGAACTGATGCATAACCACAGGTCAGTGCACACTACGTCAAGGTTCACAAAATTGCTGATATTTCTGAATGCGTGACTAATCCTGGTTGTTTTGGTGCTAAATTTGTTTTGCACTTCACAGAATATACACACGTAACTACATTTGTAGAAAAATGTTCCCATTCTGAGGAATTTCCAAAGATTTCAAATCAAGAATTTGAAATAGAAATTTAAAATCCTTGCACATTTTAATCAAGAAAGCTCGAAAGTGTGAATGATTCTCTTCTCGAAATGGTGTATCTTTTATACAGCCTGTTAGCACTTTGTTTAAGAGTTGTTTTGCCCCAGTTAAAGCAGGACATAAATTCACAATGTGCTCAAGGCATCAGCTTCTGAAAACACTACTACCATTTTCAACTTTGAATGACCCTACATCTTTATTGAAGGTGTCTTCCAGGAATATAGCATTTACAGACTTGAGGAATTGTTTCATTCCTTTGTTCTTTCAAATGAAACTACTGGCAGAAAACTATTCTGAAAATGAAACTATTCGAAATTATACATTTTAAAGGCAGTCAAGGCAACCTCAAATTGTTTCATACACATCTTATGGCAAAAATATTTCATGTTTGTACACAGATAAGAAATTCACCAGTTTTACCAAGCATTGGAGTAACATCGCAAGAAGAGCCGACAAATAAAAATTAATGATAAATCCATTAGATTTAGAGAAGCAAGGAGAGGAAAAATAAAAATGAAAAACGAAAAAAAAACAATTTAATGAGAGAGCGGACGAAATCTCCGAACCATCTTCACCGAAAGCTACTTAATACAGAAACAAAGGAGCTACTGTAACTGCCCTTGGTTCAAATCCTTTCACGCCCCAATACAAATTTCGGTGTGGATCTCTCGTGGCACGAAAAACACCACTGAGAAGTGAGTTGAATTTGTAGAATCGAAAATTTTCCAGAAGTCCAGTTTTTGATTAAATAAAAAAGCGTTTCCATATAGAGAAATCACTGAGTTTAATAACGAAGAGGGGAAGGTAACTAATTCACTAAAGTCCCTTGCACAAATTTAGCATTTTCAGACAACTTCTTGAGTATTTTTGGAAGAGAATCTCCCACCATATTTATTCGCAAAACACTCAACTTGGAGAGGGAACCATCGTTTGAAAACCGAAACGTCGTTAACCGTTAAACGATTTCAGTATGACGATTGCGCTGCTTAACGTGTACATTGAGTCAAATATACTTCAAAGGGCAGTGATATCTCGAACACTACATTCATTTGCTATAATTCGATAATACCGTAGTAGAATCAGACCAAAAATAAGGAAATATGAAATTTTATCACCATAAAACATTAATAGGTTTGCCTTTGCTGCATAATAAGAAAAAGAAAAACGTAAAAGAAACGCGCAATAGATTTTCAACAGAGACTGCGCCTCTATGGCGGTTTTCCCTACACCCTCGCCATCGCTTTCTCTGGACCTTCGTTGATTTCGACACCACACAACATAAAATTTGAATTTTTGCCATTTCATCCGCCGTAAACACACACAACAAACCTCAGATATGCATTCTGTATTGAAATTGTACGACAATGAATCACTCAACGAAGCTATTCGAGAATCAAACTTACCACGACGTTGTAGTCGTGATTGCCGTAGCCATTCGTGTATCCATTCGAGCAAACGTTACGTCCCTGGAAGTTACTTCTATAAGAACTTTGTGATGTTCCTTGCTGTACTGAATCTTTGCTCTGTAAGCTCTGTAATTGCTGTTGGGCTATTATTTCGGCCGCTGTCATTGTTTCGCGTTCGTCTTCTTCATCAAGCAGTTGTTCAATACATGCACGAATGAACTCCTCTTCGTTGAGTTGATCGTTCACTTCGCGATCAAAATCGTCCATATTCTCCATCCACAAGTACTCAGCAAACGGATCTTGCTTGCTCGGGTGGTTATTTTCCATATCCAGGAATAAGAGGAACACAGGTACTTTTTGTCAAGCACGAAAAATACAACGTCCGAGATACACCGACGTAACGAAGTTCGGTCACCTGCGTCAGAGCCAATCATAAGGCTCCTCGCTGACAGGCCGGCATAACATAACACGTAAATATGGCGCTTGGCTTATGTTATGATGCAAGCTTCAGAGAGAGAGGAAGAAACGACAACACAATAGATCAATCCTACCACATCTGCCAAAAAAAAATTTAAATTTTGGAAATTCTTCCAGCTTACAAGTTAAGAACATGTTTGGGTTATTCGCGAACAGTCTCTCAAAATTTGCGTATGTGGGTGAAAGCGCACGGGCTGTGTGTTGTTTCGACCGGAAGTTAATAATCTGCATTTTCATGATGTGATTTCCGCTGGCCTGACCACACCTTTCAGGTTACGGAATCACTTAAAATATCAATGGTCTAAAATTAGTTTGGCTGAAAAGATCTGTCAGAGTTAGACATCACTTACTCAGACCTCAGTTGTCTGGACTTGAAGCCAATTTTACAGCTTTCACAACTTTTTCAGCATCTGAATTTTGACCGACTGTTGGCACTGCTTTAACCGTGATAAAAGAAAAAAATGGGAAACGGCAATCATATATTGAGCCTCCCTGATAGGGTAACCGGCTGTTCCGCTGGATCAATTGGCTGTACAGGCGCGCACGCGGGGGTTTCTCGTAAAAACAAAAAATGAAGAGCCAAGCGCGATAAAAACCCACAGGGAGAAAGGAAAACCTGATTAAGGTAAATTAATACTCGAGAAGAAGCAATGCCGCCAGGGTGAAACGATTCCATGCATGACAGCGTAACTTCGGTGAACCGTGGAAAACTTAATTCGATGCAAAACCGCATCATTGGAAACCCAAATGGCAGTAACTGACGATGGGTCAGAGGAAATAAGTTCGACGCGAAAGTTTCCTTAACAGACAAGAAAGGGCGTAGGATCGCAGATGAATTTTCCTGTCGCCTGTTCATCTGCCCTCGCATTTCTGGGAATTGGAAGATCGCACCGAGAAACGATTTATCGGACAAGCCTTTGGATTATTACATAACAGGAAGTGCCCGTAGGCAATAAAGACGCCAACCCTGTATTCTGATCAATTACCCGAGAGGGCACTGGGTTCGTGTATGTTGGGCCAATAAAGTGATTCTTATTAATTATTTTGATATTAATTAATACTATCGCAATTACGTAAAAACATTCGGCCTACTAACGAATCAGCAATATTAACTTCCACCTGATAAGTTTGAGTATCCTCATCACCTGTTTGCTGGATAATGTATGGATGTTATGGGGAGAAGGAACATGTTAATCACCTCTCAGAGTTAAAGGCCCTGGGTTAATTGGCAAATGCAAACAAAGAATGGATCCATGGAGGTAAAATCAAAGTTGCAAAGCTGGTTGAACTTAGGCATTCAGTCAGTTTGATTTCCTTACATCAAATGCATGTGCCTCTGAAACTGCAATAACCTTCAAAATGACAGTTTTATGCAATAAAACTTGCAACAAGATTGGGAACGCAACAAATGAAGGCAATTAATTATATATTTAATCCTAAAGATTGACAAGCATTTAATTTTACCTTATAATATCACTCCTGAATCACACACTAGGTGTATAAAGGAATCAAAGAAATGACCAACATCTTAAGAAGCTCTTGATTGTTAAACTAAGTCTCCTTCCTTATCAGCACAAAATATATGGGGAACAGTGTGGAGAATATGCATTCTGATGTTGGGGTGCAAAGAGTTAGGATGTGAAGAATTCAACCCTTCCACTCCAAGATCCAAAAACAGTTATCCATTATCAAAAATACTCTCACTGATGAGTATTTCATAACATCCAAAGAATATCCCCTTTTTATAATTGTCTCCCTGCTCACCAATTCCTGCTTGAAAATGTATTAGCATTTTATAGTGAAATTGTCTTTTTTAGTTATTCCTGCTTGAAAAGGTTAAAATTAATCAAATTATATAGTTATTATGATCCTTAATTTTCCTTAAATGATAATTAAAATAAATGCTTAGTATTGGCAGTATATACCAAACAGGTAAAATGTCCTTCTTGGACACACTGATGGGCTACTTCAGAAGTCATTGGCAAGTAACACACACCTACAAGCCATCAAAGAGATAAATTGCTCATCGAGAGTTCAATTTTGTGCTAATTTCTCAGTATTTTAACAGAAATGTACAAATTCTTTGGTTTCTGTGTGGTCTTTACTAAAAAAAAAAATATTCAGCTCAAAAAGTGGTTCACCTCCACTTTAGTGAATATATGTTATTAAATAAATAATTTATACCACACAGATTAATTGCTCTGTTTGTGTCCAGTAATTGGCTGGTTTGTTTCAGAAATGATTAGTGAGTGCCATTCACCTCTGGGCAGCCGAAGAGACAAAATCATGAGTCAACAATTTAATTTCCTACCATTTTTTGGTATATTGTTGAAAATAATCTAATATTTTTGGGTTCTGTGTGGTATATACATGTACTAACACAATTATTCACCCAGTGTTGGTGAAGGTAGAACATCTATATATCTACCTCGCCACTTGCAGCTCAGCAAATATCCACCAAGCTATTCAACTCCACTTCTGTGAATAATTGTTAATTTATTCTTGATCTGCACTTTAAAACTTCTTCTGTCTAGTCAAATAGTTCTACAATAGCCTTTGACGGAGATATACACTTCAGACAAACACAATATCTGCAACCACTCAAACACAATAAAAGGATAAAAAAGGAATACACTGACAACAGAAACTTCACTTGATGTTGAATCCTTAAAATTCTCCCCTTCCAAGAATTTAGTATAAGATCAAAACAACAACTTCTAGCTGATTTGTTTGAGTATTCTCATTACCTGTTTGCTGGATAATCTATGGTTAATATTAGGAGAAGTTACATGTCAATAATCACTTCTTGGGGTTAACCCTTTAACTCCCAGAAGTGATCAACATGAAACCTCTCCCTATAACATCCATATATTTTTCAGCAAACAGCTAATGAGAATACTTGAACTTATTAGGTAGAGGCTGCTATCTTGATTTAGCACCAAGTTCTCATAACTAATTTACAAAGAAATGGGCAGTGGCTAGAGGGGAGAATTAACAATCAGATATTGGGAATTAAAGGGATATGCCAGAGTAGACTGATGTCATTCAGTTGAAATAATATTCCACATTTGTGCAAACATAAGCTGCAGGCTCAGACAAGAAGTCCATAAATAGTTATCAAAAGATTAACACAATGATTTAGTTGTGTCAAAATAATTAAGTCAGTCTAATAATTGAGGAAAAGTTAATGAAAAGGCATCACCAGTTAATAATAAAACTGCCACTCATATTTAGCTGCTGAAAGCCTCACATAGTTTTAAAAGGAAAAATTGATGTTCTGCAAATCTAATAGCTACAGGTAAATAACAATATACAAATTGGAGATGTTAAATTTGCAAGCAGAAAACAAAATTTCTGATACTCTTACACCCTTTAGAAATGTTTCATGCACAATCAGATCCCTCCAGAAAAGTGTTTCATAGTTTATTTGAATTAAAATCATTTCAAATCAGTTCGATTTCTGATTTTCCCTTTCTCTTTGACTTGCATTTGAGAAATATCAGAAACCCAAGGAATCTTCATTCTAGCTGGTTCAAAACATGCCAAAACCAATGAATGCTTTAAATTCAACACAATTATACTGTTTACCAACTGTTTCCTCTCTATCTACAGGTAACATTTCAACAACATTATATAGATTAATTGGGGAACAAAATACCATGATTTGAAAACACATTTGGTAAAAGTACCATAGAAAAGTAGTTTAATAACAGGGACCTAAAAGACTTCAATATACACTGTAATAATACATCATTTTTCTCACATATGTCCACCATAATCTTCTCTCAGCTCTTAATATGTTTTTGTCCTTGTTGGTAGATAACCCTCCGTTTTCTTCGACAAAAAATTAAAAAATGCAAGGATTCCATGTCTGCGACTTGATCTCTGGCCAGCATAAGAATAGCTTGGTTCTGGGTAGACAAAGATATGAAAAGAGAAAAAAGGTTCAACTTGTCAACTTCACATTATAATTATCATTGTAAATAACAGCATAAAATTGTTTTCAAGATGTAGAGAGATCCAAAATGTTCTTTAACATTATGCTTACATGTTTGTTTTCAGACATTAAGACTACAAAATAAATACATTGCAATCTCAATCTCAAAATGCAAACAACCTCACAACTTTCAAAGTTAAATTGCAAATTTGTTCAAAAAAGACACAACTGAATAACAGAACATTTACCAAATGAATGAAACTGAACTTAATGCCAATACTTGCAAACTTGGCCTGAAATGCTGCATAGGTATTTTCCTTTTTTTTTTTTTTTCTTTTTAATTTTTGCAGCCTTTTAGCAGCCTATGTACTGTTTGGACCCAATGGGTAAAAATAAAATGTTTATCATGCTTAAAAATTTTTTCTAGGGTTTCCATTAAGGAAAGTACTAAAAGGAGAAGAGTTTTAAGTAACAATGAAAATATTTCCCGAAGTAAACAATAAAAAGCCAAGGCCATCCAAATTTTATCCCAGAATTCTGCCAGGTACAGGTAAATGTATGTAGTTGCAAAATTTTGTTATCTCTGATGGTTAATAAAAACCCTGATGTACATGTAATGAACAAACTGCTACATCCCCAGTAGTACCTGTTGTATCCTCTGGAACTGTGGACGCTGTTGGTAATACATTTTCACTTGCGGATAAGGAAACAAAGAATGCAAATGGTAGAACCCATAAACAGATTGTGAAGTAAGCTAGAATCTGGAAAAAACAAAGTCACATACTAAATATTTGTTCATGACCATGCATGAGGTCAACAGGACTAGATAATGGGCATGTTCTTTTCTTGTGAAGACCATGTCCATTAAAATGCAAAAAATGGCCAATACATGATAAAACTGAGTGAACAAGCTTGGTCAATAAAGGATTTACTAAATGGTTTAAAGATTACACCAAAAATTGCAACACAAAGTCAAGAAATTCTTTCTGCTTTTCTTCATTTTGACTGTCTTCAGGATAACCTAATATTCATAACAGATGGGTTTTTTTCGTGTCCAACATGAGCTGAGTTTATGTTTTGTGATGCTAATGCTGTTGAAACTGTGAGAACAATTACTACGGGGAGAAAAAAATGCCTCTCAGAGTTACAAATGATGTTTGTTGGTTACAAGCAATTTTAAAGTGCTGTAGGGGCAAAGTATGTAATCCCAAGCAGGCAAAATAGACCCATTTCACCCATTCTGTTAGCCACACAATTTATAGGATTCATTTCACCATGTCCTTGGCAGGAACAATGCACAGTTTCTCAAAACCTGAGTATTAGGGGGCTGGAAATCCTCTGTTAAGAAATTTGACAGGTTTTGCCAGTCCATCTTTGATTTATTTAATGTTTTTCACGCCAGAATAACTTAAGTTCAGCAGTAAGGTGCTATACAAAAAAACAACTTTAAAAAGAAAAGTACATCTCATCAATTTCTTTAATTTGCTACAGTAACCGTAGATGTTCAAAAGAAATCTTTCTCTTATGTTTAAACTCAGCATCCCTAAATTTTTCTGATAGATAGTACAAACAAGCACATTACCTCGGAAAATGGATACCATACAGAGGAGAAGTGGTCAAATGCCAAGTAGTGATTGACAAAAACCATCGCTGAAAAACAATTAAAAGTAATTTTCACTATTTAGATGAAAAATTCATTTCAATAACAATTTATTCATCTCATAATCTACATTAACCTGAGACACAATGACCTAGAAATGTTTCAATTTCAAAATTCAGTAGCAAAAGGGAAGTGCAAAGAGAACACAGCTTGGGGCATGTGATCTACTATCTCCAGAGTTGGCCACTTAAACTAAGCACAGGTTTTGGCAGTGATAAATGATTGGTACAAATTTTGAATCTTTCTATAGCATAACTTACCCACTCCCCCTAAAAACACTGGAGATGTCAGCTGAATAAATGGAAAATCTTTAAGAAGCAGGAAATAAAGTCCATTGGTAAAGAGTCCTGCAATTATTATTAAGAGAGGAAAACTTTCTAGCACAAGAAGTCCTAGGTAAACCAGAGTTGTCCCCTGTAAAAAACAAAGACAAGGAAGCAAATTTTGATAAATATAATTTTTATCTTTGATGCCTAAGAAAGCTTTCAGCCTAGCTGTGTCAGGTAAAAATGCTTCTCTGATTCAGAGATTGCACACAGAATGACAAACACACAGACATATTTTACTAACATGGAGGTGTCTTACGTAAAATTCCACCCATTGCAGCAACGATAAACCATTAATTCTTGTTAAATATAATTTCTGTCTTTGATGCCTACAAAAGCCTTCAGCCTAGCTGTATCAGGTAAAAAATGCTTCTCTGATTCAGAGATTGAACACAGAATGACAAACTGACAAACGCACAGACATATTTCACTAATACAGAGGTGTCTTGTGAGAAATTCCACCCATTACAGCAGTGTGGAAATTTGCAGCAACAACAAACCTTTTTTTTTAATAATAAAAGATATCAAATAGAGATATGTTTTATCAAAAGACTAAGAGTTTCACCAACATGCATACCTAAGAGCAAAGAAGAGGAGAGACAAGTCTTAAGAAATCAATACATTTCTTTCAAGAAATGTCTCAGACTGACAAGGCATCTTATTGCCCTGCAATGTGTCACATCATGATATTTTACTAAAGCTTCATCACAGAGGGATTTATTATTGAAGGTTGACATGTCAGTAACAGCTAACTGATAAATCTTTTATAACTTTCAATCCCAGATGTTAATAATAATTTCTCTTGGAATTAACACTCCTCTGTAAATCAAAGAGCCATGTTGTGTAGAGAAGAACATCAACTAAGGTGTATTGCTTGATTTATCAAACACGAAATTCCCAGAGCTGTAGTTATTAGAAATGTGTGGTAAACTCTAAGGAGAGTATTAAGATCTCAGGTGGAGAGGAAAGGTTTTTGTCAACACCTATACACTGAAAAATGAACTACACGTGTAGTTCTTTCATTAAGATTCAGCAAGTGAATCATTCTATTGTCACAACCAAACTGGAAAATAAGGAGAATTTCCCAAAAGCCTATGGAAAATGCAAAATAATCTGCAGACGGTCGAAACTACAACATCTAAACTCCTCCTGTCTTTCTAAATTCCCACGTTGTTTCACGACGTAAATGAAGAACAACTGCCAGGCTAATATTGCATTTTACAATCGGACCAAATTCACACTCCATAAAAAGTAATTTTGAGCTCAATTACTTGTGCAACTCTTGTAATTTCCACCTGATATCATTCATTTCAATATCTCTTAATTATTGCACGGGAACTGTATGCACCTCAGCTGTCTACATTTTACGACTTACCGCGACCATACCCTTAATAACTTTAGCTGTTAGTACTGTGTATTCCTCCACAAGTTCCGCAAGGTAAAAAAGAGCAGCAGCTGTGGCAAGATTGTAAAAAAAAAAAAAAGACAAGCGTGTGAGCACCCAACGAAATGTACAAGCTCAAACCAGTGCCAAAGATTCTATCTAGGAAACGCCAGAATCGGTTTTGAAGTACCTAATGCAAGAGTCAAGAAGAGAACGTGGAAGATCATGGAAATCCAGCTTAAAATGTAAAGAAACATCTTGAATTACTAAACACTCAAGCGATTCTCCGCCAGATATCAACAACAAATTAAATTCTCTGCAAACGTGCCAACTTTACCGCTTTGTAGCCACTCCTTTTACTTTACCGCTTTGTAGCCACTCCTTTAAATTTCAAAGCGGTTCCTCATCCAATTTATAGGTTCGCAGTGCATGCATACAGTGCAAAGACACTACCTGGAATGTTTTTCCCCTGAATATATGCTCCTTTGCCTGATATTTCCAACAGAAAACAATCGTATTCACAAGTTTGAGCGTTTATTTAGAATATTAAACTAATCAACAACTTTCCTTTTTATTTATATTTTCATCTTTTAACTATTTATATATATTTTTTCAAATTATTAACACGGTTACTTTGGGTTATTGACCAAGCGTGAGGTCAAGATGGCTAGAAATCGCCTAGTTCTCTTTTTGCGTTGTTATGGACCGACACGAAGTCGGGTTCCATAAAAACGCAAAAGAGAAACGAGGCTAATATCCGGCCAGCCTCATCGAACAAGCATGGTCAGTAAAGGATTTCATTGCATAGCAAGAATCAAGAATAACTTGTTGTTTCTAGAGCCGGGAAAGAAGGCCAGCTGTGTTTGTAGCACAATAATCCCACGAAAGTCTTTTATGCTTTCTCTGTTTTGACTGTCTTCTGCCGCCTGTTGCGACTTTATCGCCGACATTGTCCAAAAGTTGCGAACTTTATGAGTCCGGTCCCTCGCACGCACCGGGCGGGCAAGATGGGCTCAGTGAGTGCTTCCAGCTATTGAATAAAACTCTTTATGGCCATCCAAAGAGTAATCTGAACAAATCAATCACAATCTTATTAACATCTTGACAAGTTTCGTAATCTTCTTAAATTCCTAGTTGGAAGTTTCTTTTTTTATTATTATATTTTTTTCTGTGTTTCTATATTTAATCTTCACTTGTTTTCAAACAAATCTTAGTTTTCACGAAAACTGCAATTTAACCAACGCGAAAATGAACTTGAAAAAGGAAACAATAAATAAGTCCCAACTGCATGAAATCAGCCAAAAAAAGGAATTCAGAAAAAAACCGAAAATGAAATTTCAATTGTGACGATGGCATGGAGTTTCTTAGATAAATTTCTAATCCAGCGCCGTTAAGAGTTCATCCGTAAAAAAATTCGACATAAAACGATTTCACTTTCAAAAGACTCAAATGAGATGATCCAATGATTTTGAATCAGTTATTTATTTTTTCATTATGTTGGCCTGGACTCCTGTAAACAAAAATGAATACGAAATAATTCAGAGAGAATTCTCTAGTAACCGGCGAAATTCTCCAAAATTTACTTGATTAGATATTCTTTTCCTTTCATAGACAGAGACTGCAACAATCAGGCATCAGTAGGAAGCACACCGTTCTAATCTGTATGGAAAACAACTGATCAAGAAGAAAAACTTGAAACAATTCAAATTTCCCGTTCATCAGAATATCTTTGTAAAACATTAATTATTAGCCTTTGAAATGTACGCGTCATACATGGAATAAGTGGCCAAAGAACCCAAGGGGCATGTTCAGGTTAATTTCCGCTTCAAACGGGTGACACAATTAGGCTTGATATGACCCTCTGGGCATCACTTGCCTTGCATCACGCAATGAAATATTTTAGCATCGCAAAGAGGGTTAAATATATTTTCTTGGTCACCAATCGGTTTGACGAGAATTGTTTTCACTTTGTCGAGCATTATGGCTCATTTTGCGGGCTAAAATGGAGATTTTGATGAGCTAAAATATATTTAGCCCACTCGCAAGCTCGCGTGATTGTTCAGACTGTTTTGTTGTTAGTTTTTCAGTTTTTTTTTTCATGCCCTCCAAAGTGGTAATTATAGTAGTACAGTTGATGATGCTATAATCTTAGTAACAATAATTGTACAGTTTATGATCTTATGATCTTATGATCTTACGATCCTAGTAATGATAATTGTACAGTTTATGACCTTAGACATAGATATATTTTGGGCTGTCCTCATGCAGAGCTTATTTTAACCCTTGGCTAGCTGGTCGAGCTAAAAGAGACTCTGAGTCAGGCCCAAAACATATCATATTCCTGCCCACCAACATAAAATATTTGGTTTTAACAATCGTTACTTGGATAAAAGATTCGAATCAATCCTGTAATTATTCCTTTTAGATTGATTCCAAGACCTCTGTGTGTTTTATTTCATCTGAAAAGTTGAAGTCACGTTTGTGGTTCATATATAGCCATTAGTTGGATTGCGGCGATTGTAGTGAATGTACCGAATAACGAAAATCCCTGTGATCGGTCACGAATACTTGATTTTTTTGCAAGAAGTTTCAGATATATGATTCGAAAAGACACGCGCTTTTGCAATCACAATGAGAGTTCGGTATATTATTTTTTAAAATAATACTTCAAAAAACCTAGACTTAAAAAAACTGAAAAGAGATATGATTAGCATAAAACTCATCTGAAATCACGATTCCCCTTCCATTTACTAAAACACGTACAAAAATTTTTAAAATTTTTTTTTTTTATCATTCATATTTTCCTAATCCAAGATTACAGCCACAACAGTTGCAATGTTTGCGCACGACGTAGGTTTATATGTTGCCTGCATGGGGTCTTGTTTCTAACTAACTAACCCTAAACATTAACAGAATAATTATGCCTCAAAAATGAATGTTATTAAGATCAGAATGTGATGGGAAACTAATCCCGTATAACATGTTAATATGATATCTTTGAAGTTCTCCTACAGTTGACGCGGAACCACGAGAATGCTTAAGATCTTTAATAGACTGATTTCTTTTTTCCTTCCTTCCAAACAAATGCTTTGAATATAATTTTATCATTATTGAGGCAAAATTTCAAATTTCACGGACGATAGACGTTTTAGTAGAAGAAATAAACTTTCATTAGTTTTTTCTCCTGATTCGAATCTATCCTTGTCAAATCTAGTTTAGGAAACTCCTCCTTTTTCTTCTGATTCAGCCAAAGTCATTTATTTGCAATAAAATCGACAAATTGGCAATGTTTACCTCTGTTTTTCACTAAAAGAATAAAACAGAAAGACTAAAGTTGATGCGACGCTTAATTGACTTCAGTTACACTAATTGCTACACTTTAAATGATAACATTGCAAATGTAACAAAAAGGAACGAAGTTTGACATCACAGCGCACTTTCAACGCTATAACTGATCTGAATTTTATCGTCACCGAATTTTTCCTTCAACTAAAAACGTAAATTTCAGTTGAATATTTTTCTGTGTCCAACTGATTTGCGAACGGATCGGAGCCAAATAAATAAACGCCTCTACATTTCCTGGCCATTTCTTCCAGTCGATCTTTGCTTAATTAAATCGAAGAGTTTTTCAATTAGCTTTCACTCTCGCCCTTTATGATAAATGCATTTAGGCACCGGAGAGGAATCTCATCGAATGTCACTTGCAGCAAATACGAATACTCAAAGCATGACGTCAATCCAATGCGCCGTCAAAAGACTCTTTATCTCTGGGACCCGGTTCTTTTGCCGAGGATGAATGATGTGTTTGTGAAATCTTGACATCTTCGGTATAAAACAGCGGAGGTAAAACACAGAAAGAAAGAAATATCAAATCTACAATTTAAAGATGGCCATCTAATTACGAGAAGGAATTTTACCATTCCCACGGTGAAAATAAGCGGCTCCCGGTCCAGTTGATCCGCGAAAAACGTATATTTTGGGCTTGTATCAATTTGACGCAAACTCGATTTCAAAATCGCCGATCGTAGAATTTTTTTGATCTATATCGTTTGGAAAGCGATATTTTAGCCTTTTCTTGTGGATGAAACAATGTTTAAGGTTTTTTTCATGTTCGTTTTCGCAAATTGTCATTTATTTTGTTGCCCATATGAAGACGAAAAGTTCAACAAAACAGTCCAGGAAGGACATTTCAACATGAAATGCGAGAAAATGGTATGTAGAGACTGTGATCATTTATTTCCTAAATCGAGTTTTGATAATATTTCTCATAACTATGTACAATACTCTAGTTTATTTAATCGTTCCCTAATCATCAACAGTTTCTTGAACGCGAGATTTTTACAATTTATGATTTGAATTTTATCTTTACATGTGTCTTTCTCAAAAGTACGGTCACCCGTTACTGATGAATGTGAGTAGCATGAATTTTTGTTGTTTTATTTAAACCTATTTTAGACTAAATTTCAACTGACACAGAGAGCAGAACAGAAACATCACTGAATAAACGACCACAGCGAGCGAAGATAGCATTCTATCGAATATTTGATCATGAATAGTCGACTTAATCTCTTGTGTTATCGTTGCACCATTTTATTGTGTTTGAATCATAACACGCCTAAGACATGCCGCAGTCTGGACCCTTTCGGTTGCTGCTCTTTTAAATATGTCGCTTTGTGAGCAGGATTTTCCTCCTTTGTCTCTGCATGAAGTAAGCAAGATGTATGAATTTATAATTGCAATGGTGAACGAGTGTTTTTTTTTTCTTTTACTTGCAATTGCTGTATTTTCTCTTTCTTGCTCAGAAAATTTAAACTATCTTTACACTAGGAATACTTTCCGTCAGTACGCTAAAATCAACAATTATTTCACGAGCTGGGAACTGTTTTAAACGCCATAATGCTGATTGTAAGCTTTGCAGTTACTTGTTCGCGAATTCTTTTTTCCGAACCTTGCCGTTATGAACTCACTTTTCACCAAAGCTTGCCTCGAAATAAATACTAGCCTTATAGAAAAATTACCTAGGAAAACGTTGCACCTCGGAAACTAAGACTTTCTCTCGTAATTTTCTTTCAACCCAAACCTGTGAAAAATAATTTGACAGTGCTGTAAATTATGGCGATATAGGCCTGTAATTAAAGGAGATGAATATGAAAATTACAAGAAAACAGGAAATAAGCATTGACACAGAAATTTGCAACAATGTACCAGCAATCATAAAGACCCTCATGTTTTCCAAATTAAGATAATTTTAAATTTGTCTGTGAAAACTTCCTTTTGCCTTACGTTTTCCGATTCGAAACATTTCGTCTTTATGAAATTTCCACTCAAAAAA